CTTTAGAGTTAGAATGGCTTGAATCTAAGTCTCAGCTGAGCTATCTGAGAACTGGTTTTGTTTAGATAAATTACTGAAGTTCTCTGAACCTAGGTGTCTCCATGTGTCCAAGGAAGAGAATAGTATAACAATTTTTTTTTTCCTGCAGTGCTAGAGACTGACTCCAGAGCCTCACACATACTACGCAAGTACTCAACCGCTGAGCTACATCCTGAGCACAGCAATACTTTCTTGATGGGGTTGTTTTAAACATAAAATGAAATCATGCAGGAGTAATTCATTAATATTGGTCATTATAACTGTATTATCTTTTCCTTGAAGGTAGGGAGCCTGCCTTCTATCTTTCTCTTTATACTTCATCCAGGCTATAAGTCTACTGGTTGGTGCCACCCACACCTAGTGTGGGCCTTCCCATTATCCACACCCAGAACTATGCTAAATGAATTAGTGGACTAATACAGTATCACAAACCCTAATTCCAATCACTTGTGGAAAGCACCATGTATGAATGGATGAGGCTTTGTGGGGACATCTAGACACAAGCCATTAAGGCATGGTAGAGGAGACCTGCTTACAGTATGGCAGACTGGAAGAAGAGATTGAAGGAAGAAGAGATTGAAGGGAGAAGTTGGGAAGGGAGATAAACCATTCCAGGCCTCCTCCCCAGTGACCCTCCTCCTCTGACCAGACCCTACTTCCTAACAGCAAGTCAGTTATAAGGCCCCATAATCCAATCACCTTCCAAAAGCCCCACCAACGAGTGTATGGGGCTCTTGGGTGATGCTCTTTTAAGTAAACGGAGGCTCTAGGTTTTCTCATCGGTGGCCTGAGAGGGGAATAAATCAACCATTTCTTTAGGGCCATGACCCATTTCCCTTACTTTCTTAGTAGCTAGCATGAAGCAACTCACATTAGAGGAATTTACACAGAAAACATCACAAGACTGAGAAATGACTGTCATTTCTGTGGCTTTCCAGTGGTAAAATTTGGTATGTATAATAAACTGAATGCTTTGAAGGCAAGGTTCCTTGGAGGGGTGGGCAGGCAAGTCACATCCCTGAAAGGCTCACTCTCTCCAATGACAATGATTCTCCTCTCTAGGTTCCCCTCACAAGGTGAATGCTGGATTTGTAGCAGATTTGTTTAAATATATATTCTGTCGACCCACTTTTGATAATTTCCTTTGATATAAAAAGCTTTGTAATTGGATGCAATCATATTTGTCTGTT